GGGGAGAAAGAAGAGAAAAAGAATGAACTTAAATGGACACCATTTTTAAAAAATCAGTTCTGTTGAAACATAATTTACATGCAGTGAAATTGATTATTTTCATTGTTGTGTAAAGAACTGTGTTAGTCGGGGTTGACTACAGAAACAAATCCATAGACACACATATGTATATAAGAAAGAGCTTTATATAAAAGAGCAATTGTATATTGAGAAAACATCCTAGCCCAGTCCAGAACAAGCCCGTAAGTCCAATATTAGTCCATATGTCTGATACTAGTCCATGAATTCCTTTCTAGACTCACGCAACACATACAATGATGCCGAATGCAGGAAGCTCACAGGCCAGTGGGTAGAAGGCCATGTAGATCCAGTGGCAGTGGCAGCATCTCAACACTGGCGTGGGTCTCCATGTGTCTCCTCCAGTTCTCTGAGTGTCTTAACTGCAGGAAAGGGAAGGCAGAGAGAGTGGGTCTGGCCTAAAGTGAGTTATTTCTCTCCATAGCACCTCCAAATGAGGTTGTCAAGCTGTGACCTGATTGACAGGCTAGACTCCATCCCTTCGCTCAAGTTGACAGATTATGTAACTGCCACAAGAACATTCTCATTCTCCAGAAATCACTTGTGTGTCCCAATGAGCTGCCATCATTTCAAACAAACTTTTCAGAAGGACCGCAAAACCTAGCAATGTCATAGATTAAAGATCATATGTTTGCATCTGAGACAATGTAGCACAAATCTCCAAAAAAATAGTTTATTTCCCCTCACTTACCTGTCTACCATTTGGTTGGGTCATGTTTTCCATTTGGAAACCTCAAAGCATTTAGTAAATATGATTTTATTTTCAAACCTCCCCCCCTACTGACACTACCAAAAAACAAAACAAACAAACAAGAAAACGCCTGGTCGAGCCATAGAGACTAGCAAACCACTTCAATTATACCATTGTCTCTTTTGTTCCTATTAACCTGCATTTATCATCTTACCTGTACCATATAAATATTTTATCAATGTTAGTACACTGCTGTTAATGAGATGGCTTTTAGTTTCAACCAATAGATGACTAGGTATACTTGGTACATTTGATGGATTAGTGGAATGATTCAGCAAATGAGAGGATGGCTAAATAAACGAATGAATGAGAGGCTGCCTCCATTTCGTAGATGAGGCAGCGTCTGTCTGAGACGTACAGAGAAGTCAGGTGATTGGCAGAAAGCCACATGCTGATGTAACAGTGCCTGGCCATACATCTAGAATATTTTCTTTGCTCAATCCAATTGCCTGTGAACTCGACTTCAGTCTTTCAAAATCCCTATCCGTTATCAAAATTAAAGAATAAGAAAGGAAAAGTAAGCCACTCACGATTAAGTGGCTTTCAAAAATGGAGTAAATGTGCAAAGAAGAACATGAATGGGGATGTTTGGAGAGCATTTTCCTTTGGTGGGAAGAAAGCCCTCCCCCCACCCCCACCCCCGCCTGTATTTGCTAGTCCTTGCCCTGCTTTAAGTGAACTTGGTAGTACTTCTTGATGGCCGTCTTTGTGGGTTGGGTACCAGAGACTTGATAGGTGCCCACGGCATGCCTTTCACAGCTGTCTTTAGAGAAAGCAACACAATGACCTTCTCTGTTGCCCACTGTGCTGTGACAGGAGAGGCTCTACACAAGGAGAGTGCATTGTTAAGTCCACGCGGGCCCTTTCTTTCCCTTTCTCCCCACCTTGATGGACAACAGGGGAAATGTAATTAAATTGCAGTTGAGAGGCTTTTATGCAGTCATAGATTTTTATGCCGAAGCTGTTGCAATGAGCCTCAAATTAAAAAAAAAAAGTCTGAATTTTACATGAAACTCTGGTTTAAACAATTCCAATAGTAAACATTTTTTTAAAAGAAGAGCTGCTGAAACAGCCCTCCCCAGGGCGTTGCAATCTGTCCTGGCCTTGAGACTCCTCTCCCTTGCTGCTCACAGCTTCAGCAGCAGCAACGTCCTCCAGCCTGGCTTTCCCTCTCCCTCTCTGCCTCTCCGGCTGGCTCGCCCTCCCTCCCCCTGGCTCCGGCTTTTTCTTACGCCTCTCAGCTGCGGCAGCTACAGCGCCCACTGGAACCTGCACTCGCAAAAACAGCTCTCCTCGCCGACAGCTCCCAGACGCGCATCACCTGGAGCCGGGAGGCTGCCTCCCGCGCCCGCTGCAGAGCAGCCAGGTAGCTGGGAGGCGGGGAGGAGCCACCTTTCTCCTGCTCTCGGTAGCTGCGGGAGCATCTCCCCAGAGCGTCTCTGCATCCGGCCGGCCCGCCCGGGGATCTTTCGGCGGCGATGCACGCGCTTCGCAGCAGCGATGGCCAGAGGAACCCCGCCGCCCGTGGCCACTGAAAGTGGGGAAACCTCGCTGCAGTAGCTGGAGCTGCAGGATGCGCGAGTGAAGCGCGGAGCCCCCCCTTCGTTCTCCAACCCCCCCCCCGCCCCCCCTCGGTCTTCATTCACGGTCTCCAGGAAGGATCCAGAGGAACCAGGTGCACTGAGCCAGCAGCGGGTGCCACCCTGGATTTATAACTGTGAACTGCCTACTGTGGAAAATGGTAAACAAAGACATGAATGGATTCCCAGTCAAGAAATGCTCAGCCTTCCAGTTTTTTAAGAAGCGGGTAAGGGCAGGTTTTCTTTCTTTTGCCTTCTGGGCTCCTCATAACTGCTTTCAGATGCTGGCCTGGGATCAGCCGCGGGTTTAGTCTGTAAACCGCTCTCCTGAAAGCATGCTTCTGACAGCAGGGGTCGATCTGAAAAATCTACCTGCCTTGACAAAAAACGAGGGTGGGGCGTGGGCAGGACTCTAGAAAGAGTTGCATGGGGGAGGGGGTGGGCTGGGGTGCCTTCCGGAGGTTTCATCTGGGAATGGGCACGTCTCCATCTGAGATGCCAAGATTGCGCAGCGGTAATCTGACCCGAGAACTGAACCAAATACAATTGTGGCTACTCATGTAGTCAGAAACTGCCTGCCTGGGTCGCTCTCTCTTTCTCTCACTCTCCGAAGGGTTCAACTACCCCCCCACCCCACCCCCACCCCACATCTTTCATACACTCCATCGCCAGTGCTACATTATCATCCTCATTAAGTTCCAAGCGGCAGCTCTGGACTAACGGGTTGTCCCAAACCCATCCAGCCCATGATTTGCTGGGTCCCTATCCGTAGTCTAAGGAGCCAAGGACTGGAATGACCTTTTGGCGGAAATGGTGGGATCCAGCATTTTAAGCCTTCTGTGTCAAGTCCCCTCAATTTTTGCTTGGCGTGACTGCCTTTCTGTTTTGTAAGAAAGACAAAAAGAAAAAAAGTGCAGTGGGTGATCTGTATCGGACTGCTAATTCAGGGTTATGCCACTTTACACAGTTATGTCTTAAACTCCCCGTTCATCCATTCACAGCACTATGCCGTTGTATGGGTTATAGATGGAGGGGGGGGGGAGTCTTTTGGTTTGTTTCACAGTCAACGCAGTTCATTGTAAAGAGACCACTGGTGTTGTGCACCAATCTGCAAATGTGTACGTATGTGGAAGGGGAGGAATGAGTGATTGGGAAGGGCTTGGTGACTGATGTCTCTTATAGAGTGTGTTTCTTAAACAACGCATGCTTCCTGCAGTCCGGACTCCCCCCGGCCTATTTGATACCCAGGGCAATGACATCAAAATGGTTCTCTCCATTCATTCTTCCCTCCACTCAAGTCCTTTCTGAGCTGTGCAGCCCTCCGCCTCAGCCACCAGCCGGACACAATGAATCACAGCTGAGCTGGACCAACTCGCAATACAAATGGGCAGGCTGGAAGGCAGGGCTGGAAGCCCAGGCAGCTAGTCCATCAGGCCCAGACAGAAGGACAGCCAGAGCCCCTAGCTGCCTGCGACTGAGTTCTTGTCAGTAAATCACATGCCTCCTACTGTCAATGGGCCAAAATATGTGCGTCAAAACCAACCTGTGTTGGCCACTGCTTGTGGAGCAGAGTGCCAAGCACCCTCTCGAACCAGAGGAAAGCCAGCCAGCAGCTCCACAGCACTCCACCACACTTCATTTGTCCCCAAATCTTTTTTTCCAAGTGAAAAGCCCTTGGTGACCATTCATTGCCAATAGTAAACAAATTTTACTTGTTTTGTTTTAAGCCATAAGCCAAGGGTCTGTCATTCTCTCTGCGTTTAAGCCCCCTATCACCTCCCTTTTTCATTTATTTACATATTTTGTGTTATTGGGCATGGGAAGTCTTTTAAAACTCCTCCATCAAGTATCTTCAACCAACCAAATATCTGTCAAGTTGATTTTTAAAAATTAATGTTGTCTCTTATTTTCTTTGCTATGGAAATGTACTAATAAGAATACTTATAAACCATCTGGTTGCCTTCTGCTTAGAAGTATAATCCCTCTTTACTCGATGTCTCCGCAGACCTTGAATTTTGCAAACAAGAACACACCAGAAAACTGGTGTCTTATCTGAGTGTTTGCAGAGAGAAAGAGAACTGGCAGGTAGCTTCCTCCGACCTTCTATCCTGACTGTATCAGTGGCTGGAGATAGGATCAGAATCCCCCCAACCCTGACCAGGCACAGCAGGTTGGGCCAGCCGAGTTGAAGATGATGTTTATTTCAAGTCCCTGGCAGCCCGAGGGATAAATTCCTTGATGCTTGTCTACTTGTGGTAGATTCCGCAAGCTTTTCCATCCTAAAAGTTCACCTCATTTCCTACTACAGCTTGACTTTGGGTTTTGCCTTTGCTTGTTTTTGTTTTGTTTTGTTATGTTTTTAAACTATAAGGTAATGTGTAAGTAAAGTGTACACGATTAAGACAAGAAGCCACAGTCAAATTAATCGCCTGGAAGTAGACTCTGACTCATGGTGACCCATAGGTGCAGCACTCGCCTGCAGGTTTTCACGACCGGGCCCTGGGGAATCAGACCATCATACCTTGCTTCTTCCGAGGTGCATTGGAAGGGCCACCCTTTCCAGTTAGTAGTCAAGCGCTTAACCATCTGCACCCCCAGGTGCTGGCTCCATTATAGCACAGTGAGCCTTTCCCTTCCCACCTCCTCCCCAGGCTTCCTCTCATCCCCAGAGGGGATGCTTGTTACCATGCTGGTGTCTGGACTTCCCAGACCTCCTCTATTCATTTACATGTGCACCATATACTATAATGTCTTTGTCTTCAGCTAAGAATAATCTTTTTTATATATATATATCCTATTGTCAAACTTCCACATATTTCTGCATATTTTCTTTTTAACCTAGCTGGACAATCTTATAAAATGGACCCTCGTCTGGTGCCCACATTGAATCATGAATAGTTTGGGGGGGAAACAAAAACAAAAAACAAGTCATGGGATTTTTTTTAGTTTTCCATAAAGAGACTGAGGTTTGGACCCAAATTTTGATTGCAGATAGCTTAAACACTGCCTCTCCTGGCTTAGAAGTTACGAAGCTGCTGAGAAGTGAATATGGAGAATCTGCCCCTGGTAATTACCCACCATTCATTCACTGTGAAGATGTCTTACGCAAAAAATAAACGTGTTGCAATGTGGAATCTAACTCATACCAAATTCAAAACTACACCTGCTCCCGGTGAGTCAATTCCAACTCGTAGCAACGTTCTCTGTGGAGCCCAGTCTAAAGGCTCCCTCTGGTTACCTAGACCGTATGTCGTTGTGAGACCACATGGCCCTGTCCACTAAGCTCCTAGCCACTGTGCCACCACTCGGGTGCTTTCAGAGTAAGCCAGCAGGCTATTTCTGACTCACAGCAACCCGGACAAACGTTTCCAAGGCTGTAAGTCTTTATGAAAACTGACTGTCCCATCTTCCCCCCACAGAGTTTGGGTTTGAAGCTCTGACTTTTTGGCTAGTAGCCAAATGCTTAACCACTGCACCACCAGTGTGCCTTGAGAGTAATCCTCTAAAACAGTGGTTCTCAACCTTCCTAATGCTCTGACGCTTTCATACAGTTCCTCATGTTATGGTGACCCCCAACCATAAAATTATTTTCGTTGCTACTTCCTCACTGTCATTTTGCTACTGTTATGAATTGGGTGACCCTTGTGAAAGGGTCGTTCAACTCCCAAAAGGGTTGCAACCCACAGGTTGAGAACCGCTGCTCTAAAAGTTAAACCAAACCCACTGTCATTTCCAACTCAAGGTGACCCTGAGGGTTTCCAAGGGTTGGACTCCTTATGGAAGCAGAGAGCCTCATCTGTCTCCCATCCCATTAATCACATGTTCTAGGTATTTGGGGCAGAGTGCTTTTTAGAATCCTCACAGTAACCCTCTGAAGAATCAAAAAGGAAAAAAAAAAAAGGTTGTGAAGTAGGAAGTGTATAACTTAGAGAGATAGAGAAACTTAGAGAAAAGTGGCTGAGTTAGAATGTCAACCATATGTGATCCAGAGCAGTCGTTGAGTGATGCAAACACATAGACGCTGACCTACTTATGGAAAGGTCGGTGGTGCAAGCCCTTCCCCCGGCCCTCTCAGAAAACATGCCTGGAGGTGTGCTTCCCAGGGGCCACAGCCCAGAGAACCCTGTGGAGGGGAGTTCTACTTAGCAGCATGTGGGGAATCAATTTGACAGCAATGAGATTTTTTTTTTCCACTCAAAACCTGTGCTGTGCTCTGAATCCAGACTTTTGATTTCAAACCATAGCCCTTTCTCTTTTTTTCTCCACTGAAGAATTTTTCTCCACCCCATCCCAATGAAATCTTTATGCAAGTTCCCAATTTATAAAGCAGTTAAAAGCAATCAAGCCTCAGTTGACCTCTAAAATGAATGAGCGGTCGAGATTAGGTGAAGACCCGGTTTCTGGAAGTCACTTTAGTTGTGACAGTGACCGAAGGCACCGGGGTCCTGGGCATCCCGGAAGTGTCTGAAGAGAAACGGGCCCGGTGCTAGTCCCAGAAGTCCTTTAGGTTTATACTTCCAGCCCATGTCTTTTTGAAGCTCAGTGGAACCGGGGTCGTTTCGGTTAGTGGAGCGCTGCCACGTGAAACCAGAGGAGAATGCTACTTTGGCATTCCGTGTGTTAACACAAAGTAGCCTCCGACACCAATGGATTAGGTTTTATTCTTGAGGTCTGCAGAAATTCATTTAAGACAAATAAGAAAGATAGCCTCACTTCTTTTAGTCTCACCCTTCCAATATTTAAGAGGTTATCTGTCCTGCTATATAGAATTCTTTTTCCTGGGTTCAAAGATTTGCTCGAGGTTCACATTTTTTACACAGTGACAGAGAAAACACCAACAAATGACGTTGTCTTCAACGTGATAATCCTTTCTGGAAGTCTTCTAGGCCTATCGAAGGATTTCAGAAGCCCCAATGCCATGGCCTTTTGTTAAATTCCAAAGGCTTGGTAGACTTAGAGAATTGGGGATTTGAAATGAACCTTAGAAGTCCTCTGTGCTTGAAAGATGAGGGAAGTCAGGCCTGCACAGGGAGTCATTTGCTCACATTAAGAAGAGAGGCTACGGAGGTCTCTAGGAGCCCTGGTTGCACAGTAGTTATGCACTGGGCTGTGATCTGAAAGGTTAGCTGTTCGAAACCAGCAGCTCCATAGGAGAAAGACCGGAACTTCTACTCCCATAAGAAGTCGCAGTCTCAGAAACTCACCAGGCGATTCTCCCTGCCCTATC